CACTTTCGTTGAGGAAGAAACAGTCGATTTAGATAAAATTGAGGAGGTTCACTTAAAATTATTCGTAATTAGTTAAAGATTTACAACGTCCATAAATGCAAATGGCGACAAACCTGTCGTACCTGAATCAATCTCTGAAAGTTTAAAGTTACCAAAATTATCTTTACCTACATTTAGCGGAAATTTAACTGAATGGATAACATTTAAAGATTTATTTAACACTAGTGTTCGCAACAATCCAAATCTTTCTGGAGCTAAAAAATTAGAATATTTAAAGAGTTCTTTGAAAAATGATGCTTATCGCATTATTCATTCAATTCCCATAGCTGATCAAAATTTCAGTATTGCTTGGAATTTACTAGAAGAGAGATTTTCTAATAAGAGTGAACAGATATTTGCTTTTATTAAAAGAATTCTTAACGTTTCACAAATACAAACGGAATCTGCATCCATCGATAGTAAAGTTTAGTAGATAATGTAAACGAAATAACTCGTTCATTGGAAATATTAGATCAAAGGATAGATAATTTTAGTGATACTCTGTTGATGTATATTATTTTGCAAAAACTTGACGTTTCGACAAAGTGTTGGTGGGAGCGTTCAATTAAAAAAAGACAAAATACCAAAGTTGAATGACTTGATAGAATTTTTGAAGAATTACGCTAGAACGTTACAGAACATTAAACCTTTATTAGTAAAACGGCATAAATCAGATAAACCAATGTATAATAGGGTTACTTCTCTGATTACTAATTCTACTTGCTTATTTTGTAAAGAAGATACATTTTTTTACACAAGGTGTTCTAATTTCTTAAACTTGCCAAGTGCAAAAAACGAATAGAGTTTGTTAAGACTAATAAACTTTGTTTTAATTGCTTGTCTAATGTCCATAAAGTTAACATGTGTAAGAGTGCAAATACCTGCAAGAATTGTTTTAAGCATCATCATAGTATTTTGCATTTAGAAAATAATTTCAAACCAAAAAGTGCATCTAGATTCCCTTCCCCGGAAGCACAAGTGTTTGTTCCGAAATCGCAAATTAAACCAGAAAACAACTTGAGAGAAGTTTCTCCAACTGTTTGTGGCAAACAACTATGAAAATCAACATTTTGGAGCTCATGCTAATGGTAAACGTAGTCATGTACTTTTGCGTACTGCTTTAATTAAGGTTCAAAACTCAAAAAATGAATTCATAAATTGTAGATGTTTACTAGATTCAGGTAGTGAAAAATTATTCATTTGTCGGAAAACAGCTATCAATTTAGGATTGAGCATAAAGGATTCGAAGATATTAGTGTCATGCTTAGGTACTTTCAATACAACTACTACTGGAGAAGTTGAGTTGTTGTTTACACCTCATTTTAATACTAATTACAGAATTTCAACGTCCACTTACATAATAGACAAAATTACAGGAAACATTTCAAGTGTAACATTACCTTTGAATTTATATGAAAGTTTCGAAGATTTAACTTTAGCAGATCCTACATTTCATGAAAATGGAGAAATTGATATTTTACTTGGAGTTAATGTATTCGTTACTTTAATCAATGGCGAGGTAATTAAAATGGGCAAAAATCTTCCATTTGCATGTTGTTCTAAGTTAGGATGGGTAATTGCTGGAACTACACATTTTGAATTTCCAAACCATAAGCAGGTTTCAGTCAATACGCTAAACGTAAACACGGAGGAATTAGTTAAATCATTTTGGGATTTGGAACAAATTCCCACATCGAAACCTTTAGCTAAAGAGGAAAGATTGTGTGAAAACCATTTCGTGGAAAATCACGTTCATAGTGAAAATGGTCGTTACTCAGTAAAACTGCCATTCAAGCCTAAAAGAAATGAGTTGGGTAATTCCAGACCATCAGCCTTTCGCAACTTTCTTAGTCTGGAACAAAAACTAATAAAAACTCCTAAAGTATATCAACAGAATAAAGACTTCATATCCGAATATTTATCACTTGGACACATGGAAGAATTATCCGATGATAATTTAGATAAAGTAAATTTTCATTATTATATACCTCATCATCACGTGCTAAAAGACTCCAGTCTTGCCACAAAACTACACGTCGTTTTCAATGCTAGTGCCAAAACTACATCAGGAATATCGCTTAATGACACGCTAATGAATGGTCCCAAGGTACAAGACGACTTATTTACTATTCTTTTGAGGTTTAGATGCTATCCCATAGCCATTACTAGCGACTTATTGAAAATGTATCAACAAGTTCAAATTCATTATGAAAATCGCGATTACCAAAAAATATTTTGGAGAGATGATCCATCGAAGCCGATTAAAACTTACAGGTTGTGCACAGTTACGTACGGCACTACTTCCGTTGCATACCTGGCTACTCGCGTACTCAAACAACTAACAATTGACGAAGGAGCTAAATTCCCAAAGGCAGCTGAAATAATATTACACAATTGTTATATTGATGATGTCCTATTTGGTTCAGACACAGTAGAGGACGCAGTAGAGTTAATTTCACAACTGAGTGAACTTTTACAAAAAGGTGGTTTTCAATTGCATAAATGGTGTACAAATGATCGCTCGATTTTGGAAACTGCTTTGAAGTGCTCGGAACTCAAATTCTTCATGTACAGTAGTTGATACTAAATCAATAAAATTATTGGGTTTGGAGCGGTATCCAACGCAAGACGAGTTTTCTTGTCGCTTTGAAATCTCGAAAACAGACAGCATTCTACTAAAAGAAAGATTTTGTATTCTATTTCTAAAATCTTTGATACACGTGGTTAGTTATCACCTTTCATAATTACAGCAAAAATCTTGCTTCAAGATATATGGAAGTTACAAATTTCGTGGGATGATCCCTTGCCAGATGAAATCAATCAAAGATGGAAAATCTATTGTGAAGATATCGCAAATCTTGAATGCATTCGTATTCCTAGGAGAGTATTATTGCCCAAATCTACAAATGTAGAACTTCATTGTTTCTGTGACGCATCAGAGAAAGCTTACACCACAGTGATTTATTTAAAGTCTTCAAATCATTCTTCAGTTTCGGTGCAGCCACTAACATCAAAAACTCGCGTAGCTCCCCTGAAAGTAATTTCTATTCCTCGTTTAGAACTCTGCTCTGCAGTTCTATTAGTGCATTTGGTTCAAGCTGTGCAGAATTCATTGCAAATTCATGTTGACGATATTTACGCATGGAGTGATTCAATGATAGTTTTGTCCTGGATACAATCAGAACCAACACGCTGGCAAACGTTCGTAGCCAACCGCGTTTCAGAAATTCAATCACTCTTACCTTCATCGCATTGGAATCACATAAAAGGAAAGGAGAATCCAGCTGATTGCACATCAAGAAGTCTTTTGCCTTCAGAGCTTTCTACTCATGACTTGTGGTGGACAGGTCCTCAGTGGCTTAATTCAAATAATATTCCGTTCTCTATCAACTTACCATTTTCAGAAGAGTCTTTAAGGGAACAATGGAAAAATATTTCTTGTTCAATTGGAACAGTCGCTTTGCAAATTCCAGTCTTTAATGAAGTTTCATCATTCTTGAAACATAAGAGAATCATCGCATGGTGTTTTCAGTTTGAGAATAATTCAGCTAAATCTACCGCAACAAGGATTAAGGGTTACCTTAAAACCGAAGAATTGCAATACGCTAGAAATGCAATTGTTAGAGTAGTTCAAATGGACGAGTTTTTTTATGAATATAATCTTCTGAAAAAGAATCAACCGTTAAACTCAAATCCTTTCTTTGAACCCCTTTATCGATAAGAATGGACTTATACGCGTTGGAGGAAGATTAAGACAATCCAACATCGCGTAGGACAGAAAATATCCTATTTTGTTGCCCAAGAAACATCACATAACACAGATTATAGTGAATCATTTTCATGAATCCCATCTTCATGCTGGCCCCCTGCTATTGCTATCAGTAATTAGAAGAGAATATTGGATAATCCACGCTAGTTCAGTTGTAAGACAACAGATTTGGAAATGTGTGAAATGTCATCGTGTACGAGCTAAAACATCTACCCAGATAATGTCTGATTTACCATCGTCTAGAGTCGTTCCGTCAAAGGTTTTCTCCAAAGTTGGAATTGACTACGCCGGGCCATTTCAAGTGAAGCCCAGGCAAGGTCGAGGAGTAAAACCAATGAAATGCTACATTTGTGTATTCGTGTGTTTTACTACAAGAGCTATACATATTGAATTAGTAGGTAATCTTACATCAGAATCATTTATTGCCGCTTTGAAGCACTTTGTATCTCGAAGAGGAAAACCAATGGAAGTTTTCCTAGCTCAGACAATATTGTGCGTATCGTGAAGATCAAAACTGCTACCGGAGGTTTCAAAAAGCCAATTCACAAACTTAGTGTTTTGCCTATCAATGGTTAAGTGTTTTTCCCTAAAGCATTATAACATTGTACTTTGCTTTAACTATAAGTTCCTGAATTATATCAAGGCTTCTGTGCATCTGTTTTGAGAACAATTTAGTTTCATTGCATAATTTCATATTATGTTTTCTTGTGAATATTTTAATGATACATTTTTGCATAATTTAATATTGTTATGATAATTTCATTTTGTAAAAGCTATTTAGTTTGAAACGATGTTTCAACGCCAGGCGGAATGTTTCGGCTACCAGAGCTCTCTGCCTGTCTGTGAGAAATTATTTCACAATGCGCAGATTGTATGCGCAGCTCGCATTTTGTTTTTGCATTCTAAAAGCCGCTAATTGTAACTTTGTCATTTTACTTTGTGCTGTGTTGTGTTCGAAAGTTCAAACCGCCAAATAAAGGTTAATTTTACAGTCCACTCGCAGTGATGTATTCTTAGGTTTATTAATTTAAAGTTAAGATACCGCTTCACTACAACTACTGTGCAAAACTGTGAAATAAAATTAAATAAATAATAAAAACATTAATATTAAACACTGTACCTTCATATATATAATATCACAGAAACTAATAATTTTATTTTTTATCAAATTATAAATTATAAAATTTAATACCTAGTACCAAGTCTTCGTGTTCGCAAACCTGCAAAAACTGCTCGAATTAGTTTACCAAATGAGGCAGCATTCAAAGGCTCCATTTTTTGCTCATTACAGTGTTTTAAATAATGACTATACATGGTACTTCTAGGAACACTCATTCCATCGGCCATTTCATAATTATCGATAAGCCACTGCATCTGTAAAAAATGCTTTTGCTTTAAACAAGAATACAAGGCAAGAACTTATTATATATAAAAAAGAAAGAGTAGAAGCATAATTTACAATCTTCTTTTGTATAAATTCATTCAAGTTCAAACTTACTGATCTAACATAATTTTTGTAACTATGCCACTCAAATAGGATAATCTAGCCACATAGTGTGTATTGGCTATGCTGAGGGTAAAAATTTAAAGAAACTTCAGTTTTGAATCTCCAACGAATTAGTATTATAACTATAACTGTTCTCAATAACTTTCAAATTTAGTTTTTGCCACACTAAGAAAACTTGCTATACAATACTTACATACTAAACTAACATTCTCTTCAGCAATCAATTGTATTACAGAATTAGTCAAGTCCAAATAAATTCCTTTTTTAATTACATGAAAAGAGTATATAATATAGGAGTGTTAGTGAGTGCATCTGAAATATTTGCAGTCACTGACACTGAAATACATTTATAATAAAATAGCAGTCCAAATATAATAAGTTAAAAGTTAAACATTAATTAACATTAATTTTGAATGCATAAAAACATATATTTACAAAAACGTACAACACATTCCATCTAAATAGCAAACAAAATCAAATCAGAAATGAAATTCACTGATTTTTCAATGTAATGTATAAACTTTTAAACCCATGATTTTTTCTACCATATATTGAGATAAAATTATTTTATGAATGAATTTTACTGTTTTGAAAAGTATCACAAATAAATTCTGGAATGGAAATTATTATTTACAAAATGGCAATGAGTGAGCAGTTATAACTATTCTATTAAATAATATATAGCTGCCGAACAATCCCCTCTGTAATATTAAGACAGTTGCTAAACTTTGAAAGGTAAAAAACAGTATTTAAGAAGTCAACAGACTTTTCATGAAATACTTTTAATTAATTTAATATAAGCATACATAATAACCATTACATGTAATTTCTGATTAAAATAGAAGATAAAAAAAGAGACATTTGGAAAAATTTTTAAAAATACATAACAGGAAAAAAAAACTAATAAAAAATTAGCACAAAACTAAATTCTGCAATTTGTGAGTCAAATGAAGAAACATCTCTGCATAATTTTAGTTGTTTTGACTCCAAAATTTTAATCTGTGCTTCTACTTTCCTTTTGTCTGATACCTTTTTTAAAAAAAATCTTTACAATCACAGAGCTTTTTGTCTTCGAGAGCATGATGAAACGCACCATGAGGAGATCTGGCACATCATAACACAACAGGAGTTATATTAATATTCATCACACCTCTATTTACTTTCATGCATCATAAAGAATTTTTACATTGTTAAAGAATTTTCCTGAAGGTTTTCCACCAACATATCATTATTACCTGAGAAATCACTTCCTACTGTAACATTGCTAAGTGATAAAATTAGAACCCGTTCAACAACACTCCAAAGTTATTCAAAATTTGAATTATTAATCAAGTCTTTATAAAAGTGATCATGTTGCACTGCTGCATAGTTAACAAAAGTGTCTTTCTAAACACCTTTACTTCTGAATAACAATTTCTTAAACTAACTGCCCTTTTGATTTCTCTGCAACTGCAGAATTTATCTATTCTCTTTCATACAATATACATAGTAACCTCTCCGTCCTATTCTCAAATAAAATTCCATTATATATAATAAGCTTAGGATCTAATGAAGAAATATATTTGACCAAGCTATATTTAAATGGGTTTCTTTCAACTATTTTTGCTGCAAGATTAACCAAAAAGGTTTGAGTTTTGAATTCTTTTTTCTTTAGATCAAACACTCCACATTTAAATAAACTTGCAACAGCAGCAATATTTTTTTAATTTCTAATGGCAAGGCAAAATACAACAAGAAGTTCAAAGATAGAACATAACAGAATTGAACAAATGTCACTGCCTAAGACAGTCTCTGGCATGGCAATATTGGGTGGTCTCAGAGTAATAAACAAGAAGTGCTCCACAGCGATGAAGGTGGGTTCTGTTCATGAGTTCCATAAGATCACAGAGTGGGCAAAATGGTTGAGCAAATATACCAATTCAATAAAGATGTTCGCTCAGGCAATCATGTCATGCAAGTAGTCAGTAAAAGGGCCACAGCATTACGTCTTGGATATTCTGGAGAGAATGCAAGATCTTTGGCCTTCCAACATTTCAGCTGAATGCTATCCAACAATTTTAACTAATGTCTTTGTTTTATAGACTGTTTTTTGTTTAGTTTTATTGAGTGATATGACATATTTGAGTTTGTCTATTGTATAGTGATGTACTTTTTTGTGCGAGGAAATATGCCTGTTCATTTCCATAGATTTCACCATGTCCAGGGATCACTGTATTCCAATTTTCTTATTTTTCTGCAACAGGCTTCAGATTAATTCTTGGCACTCAAGAACTTCTCTTGATATACAGGTTTCTGAGGCTTGAATTGCTGCTAAATCTGAAAGCAGGACAGCATTCTCAAATTTATAATGTAATGTTAAAAATTGTTTCAGGGCAATTCTAAGAGCCTCCACCCCAGCACATGCATAGAGGTTTTGCCCAGCACATAGACGAGAAAAGCGCTAAAATACACCTCTGAAGCTACAGTCATTAAATACATAATCACTATATGACTCATCAGTATAAACAAGCACACAGTTATGATTTGGGTATATACTATTAATGCTTTCCAGGGAAAGGCATTTCAAGTCCTCTACAGATAATTCATTCTTGGTGATTGAATCAGTCAAGTTAAAGTTTGTCTCGATTTAGAATACAGAAAGGGCTTTGTTGGCAGCACAATTTCTTGTATTCGATCGATTAGACCACAATCCTCCCTAACTTAATTAACCTTTTGATGCCACAGTGGGTCTTGAGATTTCTAGTTGTGTCCCAATAATTAATTCAGAAAGGATCTCCAATGCAAAGCAACTTTTCATATAAGATAATGATTTTCTCTTCAATAATAATTCTTCAAGAGTAAATTTTTCGTTAGCAGTATAACAGCTTCAATGGGGGTAGATTTAACACCTCCCATAACAAATCTCATTGCTTGATTTAAAAAATTTTTTGAATTGTTAAAATTGAGAGCTTTCTCACTTGCTCTTATGAGTGGTTGACAGCAATATATGATCAATGTCTTATGAGCAATATTCAGAGTTGTTATAGCACTTCCCCACACAGAGTCAACCAAGCGTCTCAATATAGTCAACCTTATAAGAGGATAGGAGCGTTCTATAACTGACCCTGCTCTAATTTTTCCAATATCTTTGTGGGCGAGATAAACATCCGTGAAACACGCCAAAAGTATAGACCATTTCACCCACAAATGTTGCCTAGGGTACACAACATGAAGGTAGGCCTATGTTGTGTAGCAATATCAACATCTATATCTGCAACATTAAACAATAAATGGTTTGATCCAGAATATCTATTTTTATCAATTTTTCAGAAGTTTTTGCCTCTTCCAGAAAATTTCTTTTGACAAATTTTTAGAGAAGCTGATTTAGCATGTAATTAACTGTATTCAACTATGTAAAGTTGTATACAGAAAGGGGCGAATAGGATCAGCTGTATGAAATGATTTTAGAATGGATGTACAACTGCCACAACAGATATTTAAAGAAAAAAAAAAAAAAAAGTTGCCAAAAGAAGCTTATCTGTAACAGCTTCTCTTTGCTTTCAACTGACACAGTCCTTTGCAGTTTCGATGATTCTATATATTTCTTCACATAAAAAATATCAATCTCTCTCAGAAACAGGTGTGTTTTCATACCATCTTCACAAAATTTTAGTGAAAAGTTATAAAATTAGTGATGGCAATACAATCTGCTCGCCAAGCAGGACTATCATTAAATACTCTAATGCTAGTCTTTAAATTTTCTTTTAACTCTCTGAGGAATTAAGATTGACATTTGGCACATCCAAAGATAATTGGAGCAATTTCTTTTTACCTGGTTCTAATGTTTTCTCTAACAGAAGAGTAGCATCATTATATGCATTAGAAGAAACATATGAACAAGAAAATTTCTCAGAAGGACATCAGCAGTAGCATGCCCCCAAAAAATTAACACAAGGCATCTTCTGCTCACTTCATCCATCACATTGTCCCAAAATCTAACAAAAAGGTCCATTCTATTTAACGGTCTCTCTGGACAATTTTTTAAAGATTCATCAAAACATGATATGAATTGGTGTTCTTAAGATTAGAAATTAGCTAAACCAAATGGCACTAAATATGACATTTTTGTACATCCCAGGGTCATAGCTTCAGCTTTATTGCTGTCATCATATATTTTCTCTAACAGAAGAGTAGCATCATTATATGCATTAGAAGAAACATATAAACAAACAAGTTTCAGAGTCCATGGTAATTCTGCAGCTAAAACTTTAGTTATGAAGGCGTTTAAATATGATGATTCAGCAACAGGCGGCAGAGATTGCTGTGTTTCAAAACTATTTTTATCAGCACATTTTTTTTTTAAAATTTTTTAAGATCATCTTCATAGAAATGATTTTCTTATGTTTATGTGGCTTATGATTGCTTTCCTTCCCCTGTTATTAAGAATCATGTTTTTTGGCAAAACGTGCATCCTGCCATGTTAGGAGCTCCTTCAATAAGTTGCAATCATGGACTCCACTGAGGACTGAGATAAGAATCTGTCTAATATGGATTAAAAAATGTGTTTTTAGCAGCTAAAGGAGAGAAAGAAATCTCGAAATATATATTAGTATAATCTGTAAATAATAAGTTTATTATTATTTATAATAACATAAAAATTTGTAATTTAACATATATTAAACAATAACCAATTTTGCATTTACCAAACAAAGTATCATATTTTCTTGCACAATTCCAAAGTCTGATAATCACGATTTATCCACTGCACCAACGGATGTTGAAACAGCTCAATTTAATTTTTTTAATAATGTGCAATAATATAAAAAGACATCTTTTAAATTTAAAAATGAATTAAACATATTATCATTCTAAGAAGCAAATATGACAGATTTGATTTATTTAAATTCGCAAAGGACTCAAGGGCTATCTGCCTTAGGGAAGGGATGCCTTCATGGAGGCCTTTCAATGGGAATCTGGCTCGTATACACGTTACATATGGGGGAAACCATGAAAAGGCCCATGCAGCCCGTTTACCATCATTCATAAATAAGATAGAATGTTAAGTAAACATACATTAAAAAATATTTAATAATGTGTAAAACATAGTTTCACTTAACAGATTTTTTAATTCAAGACGCCAACAAACTCTTTATAACCAAAAGGCAGAATTTTCTTTCATTCGAACATTCACAAACTTCTTGTTCTTCACAAGAAGACGGGAGTCAGGCTTTCTGGATATTGGATGTTACTAGAAACCATGCTCAAAACTTGTTTTGCCTTTCTGATTGTCACTATAAAAACTAACTCTCCACCAGCTGCCAGAATGATGCTCATGCAATACAGAATTGGCCAAGTAAGTGATTCTCTTCCAGTGTTTACACAAAAATCATTTTGTTGGAAACTGCCATATGAAATTCCTTGACTTTCCAGATTTTGACTAAAATATTAAAATTCCTTGACTTTTCCCAGTTTTCCAGGTAGCGTGGCAACCCTGCTGCATTTTCTGATGAATTCACTTTAATATTTAGTTTATAAATTATATGCTTAATTTCCAAGCACTATAATTTCACTAAAATTTTAATTAATGTTTTTGTCGGTTTTAAAACTTCTTGTATTCTTTTAATAATTTGCAATATTTTTAAATTTTAGAATAAAATACTAAATTTATTGTAAATAAGTTATTTCAAAGATCTTACTTTCAAGATAAAATTTAGTAGCTAGGAAATTCAAATTTTTATTAACATATTACTTATTTTCAAGTTCTAAGCACAAGTCTTTGAAAATCTACAAATGCATGTTAACAATTTCAAATATGCCACAGTATACTTTATCAAGATTCCAGATGAAAATATTTAAGTCTATAAAAATGCCCTCAGCATTTCCCTTTGAAAGTAAATCTAAACAAGGACTGAATTTTACTACTCATGAAAATTCCAGTTGGCAGGTATCCACTATAAAATTTATTAGTTATGACTGTAAATCTGACCACTTTTCTCTAGTTTACAGTACAACCATAGACTTAGGTTACCAGACAAGATTAAGGTCTCTAGATTATGTCAGATAACAACCATGAAGGAGCAAAGTTATGAAATACGAACAGCTTTATTTATTTCTGTTTTCAGTTTGTGTATAAGATTTTTATGAGATGGTTATGGTTCTTTCAGTTTTTGATTATGCCATATGAATGCAAGTGAAGCAAGATGAAGATTTTTTGTTAGAAAGTAAATCCAAGAAATGTATGGTGACTGGAGTAATACAGTGAAATGAGCTGGTTGCTCAAGCATAATGCTGTAAATTACAATTGTATGTAAAGTATGGAAAAAATGCAAAATTCACAGAAAAAGAAAATTTACAAAGATAAAACCAAGGTATAAATAGCTCAATTATTGTCAATAGCATAAATAGCTCAATAAAATTGTCAACAGATAGCTCAATTATTATGTGAAATAATGTCAAATCCACATGACAAAAACTATGAGAAATGGTTTCTGATTTAATATGAATATATAAAGTAATGTATATTTATAAAAGAATATAAAATATTTATAAAAGAGTGTAATAACTTTTTTTATGAATTTCATGTGATTAAGTATAGTCTTTATCTTAATCTGGTGTATACAAACCTAATTCACATCACTAACTAATATGGCTCTGATACTGAATTGATACATGTTCTGTTACAAGTGAAAAAATTTAATGGACAGCAGGACCAAAAATGTTAGCTGAAGTAAATGACCGCTAATTTGTCAAAATGAAGCATAAACAATGGCACTTAGAGAGTTATCTACCGCTTAGAAAGTTTTCACTGGTTATCTACTGCTTAGAAAGTTTTTAGTTTTCACTGAGATCTTTCCTTGAAAAATTGGCTTTTATTTAAGCTTCATATGATTCAGTCTGTTTCTCTTTACATCTGTTCCATATCTGGATGACAGTGGTTAGATTTTGCTCAACATAAGCAGCAATTTTACAGCATGATTATCTGCAGTGATTATGATACATTATTACTCTTCTGCAATCAAATTCAGACAGACATTGCAGTGAATTTTAGCATTTCTTCTGAAAGCATGTTCTGCAGCTCTAGTCAAACAAATAAGCAAGCAGGAAACACATGAAAAATCTAGCTTTTTTTCCTCTTTTAACTTATTCCAGATGGAATTACACATGCAATTACTAGCATTTGTGCTGCATTGTTAATCATTTAATATCCACCCATGCTCAACCTATTACATAAATTTTACATCAGTTGGCAGCTTCTTTCATGTGGATGACTAAATGTGCACTTTAAGGTAGAATATAATTATTTCTCATTGAAGGATGTCATTCTAACAAATTAGAATTTTAGGTATCTAAAATACATTCAAAGAAAAAAGTACACCAAAAAGGGAGAAAAGAGTAGTACAAAAAATAGTTTAGTAAATAATACAAGATATGATCAAAAACACATGGTAGAAATGAACACCAGATGAGTATGGAATATCATTAGAAAAATCTCAGAAAGAGATATTAATTACAGCTGATGTTTGTTAATAACGACCATTTCATCCTATACAAAAAAGGATCTTAAAAGAATGGTCACTATATCAAAAGTGGAATTAATATACCTTCAAGTGCTAGGAACTTCCAGCACCAATCACTACAATGAATAAGTGCTACCATGAGCAGTCACAATAACAAATATCAACTGCCACGTAGCTACTTTTGGTTAAAGATATGTTTGTTGGCCTTTATGTTTGTTTTATGTTGACCTGTAATTTCTAAAATATTATTTGCCATGTAAATGCCTATTGTTGCCTCCTATGCGGCAATAAAAGTTATGTATAGCGCATTGTTTCTGCGCAACTTCAGTTTTCTTTTCAGACTCCCAGAGAAGCATACATGTTTTTGATCCCGTATGGTCACGAATTCATTTTTGATTTAGATTTTTAGCTATATACAGTCCTATAAAATAAAATTGGTTGTTATTGTAAAGTTGTCTTTAGTATACAGTTGAACCAGCACACTAAACACTTATTTTACAATATTACTGCTTTTGTATTAAGTATCAGATGATAAATATCAAGCATGTTAAAAAAATAGACACTCAGTTGGGGAGAGGGGATGTCTTTCCCTTTTGGATGAAAAATGAGCAGACCTGCAAGTGTGTTTCATAAGTCTCAGAAAATCTCATATTTATCTGCTTCAGATGGTATAATACCTATTTCATCTTATTTATAACGAATTTTCGCCCCTTTTTCTAATGTTATATATAAAAGAATTCATTGCTTGATTTTTTGAATGCAATTTATTTTTAAATATCTTTTTTTAGTACCTTTAATGTTGTTTTTTACAACATCTGATAAAAGGAAACTATATTTTGATTTCATTTAGTTTGATGCTTAATAGACACTTTAGAAAAAATTATTAATAAAGTACAAAGTCTGATATTCGGAATGATCTAATATCGAGACCATCAGCCAAAAGTAACAAAATATAAAATCTAGGAATGGAGAACATAATAACCATCAAAAGAAAGCAGGTGTGCTGAAAATGCAATATAGGGTAATGCAATATTTTTCATACAAAATTATTGCACCTATTGCATTTACAGCAATATAGGGTAATGCAACATTTTTCATATAAAACAGGTGCAATATTTCTCATCACTAGGAGATCCCTATATGTTATTTCTTCACTTTCAAACATCTACTGACTAGGGAGTTGTATAGTAGCCAATAACAGTACACTGATTGATGCTGTTTTGATACTGTCCAGGATTGCACTTTAGGGACTAGAAGTGTTTTTTTTGGGGGGGAAGGGGAGCGGTGCTTTGCATTTTGCTGCCCAATGCACCTGTGGGTCCTAAATTCTGCTGCCTGGTACCCGTCTAAATTCAAAAAATTTTGCTTTCCTTAAATCCTAAAAGTTTTGCCATTCCTAATTTTTGCTGCTTGTGCTGCTCCTCTAAATTTTAAAATTTTAGCCTTCCTTTGTTTTAAAATTTCCTAGATTTTATATTTTGTTAATTTTAAAATTTTAGCCTTTTCCCAACAGGCTCTGAAGCTGACCCTGTTGGGAAGAAGTAGCATTCTTCTGTTTGACATTAATAATAAACGAAGCCCTCATTTCGGCATGTAATGTTACTACATTTAAACTCATATCTAAAACCTAAAAATTTCCAAAATCAGAATTGCCAAAGTCCTGACAATTCCAGATCTCAGACTTTGTACTGCATCTCTGTGCCTTTTATTATTTTCTTGTGAAGGACCCCTGAGAAGATTTTGATGGATATTGGGTTGGTAAGAAAGGTCTTAAACTATTTTAATCTCATAACCAGATAATTATTAATGCTGAAGATACTGAAAATATTAATAATTGCAAATTTAAATATGATTTTAGCTACTAAGTAAATATCAAATCAAAACTTGTATATATATATACTACATTTACAATCAAAAATAATTTATTTTTAGTAATAAAGAAAAGAAAACATTTATTTAATAAAATACAACTTACAGTTGCAGCAGATAATCGGGAACTTGGATAACAGGCCATATGACTATTTTCAGGTTCTGCCATATTACTTTCATCCAGTACATGAAATACATTTTGCTCTTCTGTGTATGAACGGCAACTATTCTCTTGCTCTTGATTCTCTGTTATATTAACCTACACATGAAACTCAACATTTATAATTGACATAGCATGCATGTTGAACAGGTCACATCTTAAACAAAAAGCATTAAAAAATAACTTCTCATTCCCCTCATTTTTTCAAAATGCATTATAACAGTATTAAATTTTACTTTATACAAATGGTAAAATATCTAATATTTTGATTTAAATATGTTGTAATAATAATAATACAAGAACTTACTTGTGAATAAGTTTCAGAATTATTTGTTGAATTATAATAAGCTGTTGAATTCGGAGTATACATCGTTGAAGTCTCAGGTGTTGTGTAAATTGAAAATGTTGTCCTGTTCGAAAGAAGAATGCAAGTATAAAATAAGGGTAGTGAGTTTTTTCATAACAGCAATATTTTTTTTCATAGAACAAGTTTTCAAACAAGAAGACAGAATTCATAATGACACAGCGAGTTTTATGATGTTCCTTGGGAAGAGTTGATTTCTAGAAAAATAACTGGATACTTTGGAAAAATGTATTTTTGTTATCCCAAAATGGGCATAAATATTTACATATTTATGTAAAATATAAAATATGTAAGATTTGAAAAACACAATAGCTAATAAACCTTTAAATTTCTGGTTTTCAATTAAAGTACAACTTCTTCAAGGCATCTGGATCTTCCCTGCAGTATTTGCATTGCTGTAAACGTTTGTCCAATTGCTATGCAGTACTAAAAGAAAAATTTCCAAGCTTATAAATAGTACTGCAAAAACAACTTACAAATAGTACTACAACACTATACGCATTCTCTTTTGCTGCCTACACTTGCTTCCTAAAGGACATCTCTTGCTTGGCTGCTTAATATTCATTACAGTACAAAGTTCGTAATCCGTTTCGGGACTTTGGCGATTCCAGATTAGGGGTTTTTTCCGAATTATAGATCATCAATTTAAATCTGGTAAAATGGCAGGCAGAAATTATACAATTAAAAATATGAAACCGTAATTTAGGAAATAAAGAGCAATTATGAAAGGGTATCAAATTTTACAAAAAAAAGCTTAAAATTTATTTCTTTACTTTATTAAACATTTTTTTCAATGCGCACATGCATAAAGCATACATTACGTATAGTCAAAATTAGAAAATTGCAAGCAGAAAACTATTTGATGTGTATTCGTGATATTTATTATGCAAGAAAATTGATTTAAATCATATCAAAGATGGAGTACATCAAGATGAAATACTACTTTTAGTAAGAAATTATAAGCCAAATAAATTAAAAACATCTGCCCCGAAGATAACGATAGTGCTGACAAATCAACTTCCAGTTCATTGCGCGCCGCAATGTCCCCCCCCCTTCCCCGGCAGAGCAGCGTGAAATTGATAAACAGATTTTGGAAAGTTTACAGAAACAAATCATTAAGCCAAGCTGTTCTGATTACGCAAGTGATATCGTGCTAAGTAGAAAAATATGCGGTTCATTTAGACTATGCCTGGACTTAAACGACACTTAAAACCTGGTGAATCCCTTTCCGATTCAGGCCTGGATCGAATAGGTGCGGGGCCCAATTGGATTTTTTTTTTTTTTTTTTTTTTTTTTTTTTTTTGGGGCCCTCTCTCCTCTTTGCGGGGATCCTTTCAAATATCTTATACAAACGATTTTTCTTGATTCACAACTTCTGTTGAACATTTCTATTTTTCTCAGCAGAAAGTCGTTTTGAGCTCTGTCCAGTTTAACATAGCTACCAAATGATTTTTTGCGTGTTCTCTTTCTCGTTCAGTGGATTGACATCAATGATACAATTATAGGTTAAGTCCATTTAATCACATAAAATACTTAAATTTTATTTTAAAAATAATTGTTTGTTAGTAAAGTTATGTAATATAATAGTACTTTACCTTTCAACAATATATTGTTAGTCACAAAATACGATTTTAATAATATAATGACTATAAGAGAGGGAACAAATGCAGGAACATGATATTTGATACTATATACATCCACACTGGCTGGTACGTTTGCGCAACTAGGCATATGCATATATTGCATAGTAGTTTAGTACGTAAAGTAGTCACGTCATAGGCAAAATTCTCTAATATAAGACTATCCTGATTAAATTCAATACATTTGACATGAACTTTTATGGGTATCAGTTTTCTATATTATAAGATTATTAATATAATAATAAACACATTAATAAAACTCATCCAGCATGCAAACTTAAAATAATATATTTTTAATTATTTGAATATTCATAATTTATCCATTATCGTCAAAAGCAATTTGCTTTAAATTTTGATTTTTTTCCCCCCTTTTCATTTTGATTGTAGCGCGGGGCTCTTTCAAATACGGGGCCCGATTGGGCCCAATCGCCCTTTATCCAGCACTGTTCCGAATATTTAATTGCCATGCATGAAATAGCTAGTCGCGATTCTCTTGATGATTCATCGATTCTTGATTATGTAATCATTGGGATACCAGATCAGAGTAGTAAAAAAATTATTTTGTGTGGGTGTAAAACTATTTCTGAATTCAAAGAGAAATTAAAAATTTATGAGAAAATCCGCATTCAAGATACGAAGAACAAGGGTTATTCAAGTACTAACAAACAAAATAAAGCATGCGCTATGCCTAATAAGGGTACAGAACCAAGGTGTTATGACTGTGGAAGTATAGGATGCGTAATGTATGCACATTCTTTACACACATGCGCAAAGCCTTATCAAAAAAAAAAGTTTGTGGCTTTGATGTCCGGATTATAGATGATTCCGTATAATGCACGTCCGAATTACGGACTTTGTACTATATTAAAAAACATAACGTGTCATAATAAAAATTGTGGGTTGCAGATTGTGCCATGTTATACAGTAACCAACAAGTAATAAGGATTATCAAGTGAATTTGTAATTCTTGAAAAGTTCCTGTCATCTTCTACTACCTGATGGATATTTGAGTAATCTTCTATAATTTTAACTGCAGAATAATTGGTGTTTTCCTGAGTCATACACTCATCTAATATCAACTTATCTGAATTGAAATAAAAATATCATCACAATTTAGTCTCCCAGGATTAATAGCTGCCTGGATGCTAATGGAAAAGTATCTGCAAGTCCAAAAGTTCCAACATTTAGTGAAAACGCTATGTGAAATTATTACTGCAGGCCATTATAAAATCAGTTTCAAATTTATTTATTTAGACCACCTCTTCAATATTTAGAAATGAAAAGAAAAAAAAGTTTTCTCTAAATAACCAGTGATTAATATGAACTTTCTGAATTTATTTCAAGTAGGCAGTAGAGTGTGTCAAGCCAAGGTCATTTTGTCAGTGTCTCAACATAGTGAAATTGTTTGTTTCAGATATCTGCAATGTTTATGTCTTTCTGATCACAACATGAAAGCAAATTAAATATCCAAATTTATTTATCACAAAATGATTCCACCAATGTTTTAAAGCTTATAAATATGCTTAAGTGCAGCTGGAAATACCATATAGAAACTGCAAATCATTATTATTATTACTATTATATTGAAAATTTGACTATGTAATGATATTTTTCTTATTGCACAGAATTTTAAAAATATTGCACTGTTTTATGAAATTGAGTAAAATTTTATGGTATTAAAAAATTTAATTTTGCATAATCATTTATGCATAATCATTATCACCTTTAACTGCTGTGACAATTTTTTCAGCGTAATTACTGTGAGCGGTCTCACAGACCGCTTTAACCCTCTGAGCGGCCAGGGTTTTCGCTAAGAAAGCACAAATTTCCCAAAACTACTATGAGAACAAATTTTTTTTTTTTTTTTTAAATGTAAAACTCTCCTGGCATTTCATACCTTGATTTGTTTTCTTTTGATATATAGCCTTAATTTCTTGGACATATGCCCAGTAGACATATGCACGAATATATACGTTCTTGCACATATCACAAAAAATATTAGAGGGTTAAAGGAACGCGTGAAAATACATACTTTTATGCATTTTTAAGGAATGTTACAGATACTTTTTGCATATTTATAGAATTTCAATTCATTTAAATCAATATATTTAAACATAAATTATTTGATTTTACGGAGTTAAATTCATATAAAAATATGACTATTTTCTTCGCTTTAAGAAACAAAGTTTTTAAAAGAACAAAGATTTTATTAAACATTCATGAAAATATATGACTATTAAGTATTAGTGTCAATAAAACCATAATTATACAACAGTGAATTTAATTAGTCATAAATAATAGATTAGTATATCTTTGTTTACAAAGATTAATCATAAGATGATATACAGTCAAAACACATTTTTTGAGAACACGGAACAAACAAGTTCCTTGCATTCCAAGCCTTTGTATGCTGTTTTTCTCTTCTTTCAAGGTGGGCACAGACTACATGTTTTTCTTTCTTCTAATTTTCCTTTTTTATTTGATAAATCCATTATCTTTATTTCCAAGGATTCTTCAATTGTTACCTTAAATTCCCTTAGCAAAAAAGTGGAAATTATCCCAGCTTTCAGATGTGATTTAATAAATTGATTAGATAATAAAATGATTTTTTTTTTTTTCAGTTTTGTAGCATCAGGATATGACTGGAACAATACGTATGAACATAAATTCCAAGTATCCTCAGGCTCTACTCTAGAGCCTATTTTTGCAAGGATGTTTCAGACCGGGAGCTGAACTATTACGTTATGTTTTGGTGTTTGTACCGCCCAACTTGGTCCTTTTTTGCTTCATTTGAAGTGCTTTTTTTCATAAAAAATATCCTTTTTTCACAGTCATTAGGAAAATTATGATATTCATCTGCAGAAACTTTTGCTTTCATTGTGAATACTACATGATTTTTCAGAATCAGATTATTCTACGTCGAAAATATTGACAAGATATTCAATTTCTTTTTGAGTGAGATATATGGGGCGTTTTCTTGTAAAATTTGAAGCCATATTTATCACTTTTACTAAAAACAGGCATCTGATAAATAACGTCTATCATCCACTAAAACTGGTAAGCATCTGCTGTGAGTGGTTTCCCAGACACCTTAAAAAGTAAAAAATGTGATAATTGAAACCATAATAAAGCTAGAAGTGTGAAACTGTATACGTGACCTTGTGGGGCAGGTTTGGGAAGGTAGGAGGAAGGACAAGGACCATTCTCCGTTTTTAGGGGTGGAAACAACAGTTAGAAAATCCTCAGCTGTCTCTCAGACCGCTCACAGCAGTTAAAGGTTAATTAAGTTAGGTAACGAATTTAAAGATTTGTAAAAATTTTATTTAGGAAAAGTTATTAACATGATTAAAATATTTTTGCATTATTGTTTAAATACCTTTGAATTAGTACTTCAAATTTTAAAATTATTTTACCAATGAGATTATTGTTTAAATAGTTGAATTCTGAGAATTTTCTAATTATTTTAAGAATGAACTGAATACAAACTTTGTTAGCTAGCTTAAGACAAACTGCATTTTATTTAATAGAATTATTTTTATGTTTTCATATAAGTGTGCTTTTATTTTTATATAAATGTTTTATATCACAGTCCAAAATTGCCAGTTGCCTTTAAACCAGAAACAGAGGCCTTTTAGAAATAAATGTTGGGTAGCCTGTTGACCACTGTGAAATTCATACATCAGTTTCTTAATGATGGATATGTTAGTATTTTGAGAAAGCTGTGGGGTCTTCACGTTTGTAAAAAATAAATAAAGCAGAAATGTCTTAATAAATAACATACAGTGGTTACATGTCATATAATAAGTAGCAGACAATGTTGTTAATGGTGAAAAGAAGTGATGTCAAAATCTAATGTGTAAGTATTTTTTAACTTAAATCTGGCAACTTCTAGTAGAAAGAAAAAGTGGTAAGCTGGGAACCATTTTTTGGTGGATACAGAACAAAATCAGTGTCATTTTTAGCAACGAGGGTTCTGAAACAATTAGCTATATCTAAAAAAGGATAGGGATAGGTATCCACTGGCTTCTGAAATAACTTTTA